CCAGGCGCGGGGGGTAACCCTCAGGACACCTTTATAGTTTCCTTTGTCACCTAAGCCAGGTGCAGCCCCACAAACCAGTCAGCTTGAGGGGACAGCATGCCTGAAGTTAGGGGACAGTTTGGAATTTCAGTAGAGGTCTGGACCACAATGTGCATATGGGTCATGGCAACAGACTTCAGTGTTTTGGTGGCTGACGCCTTTCTGTTTATGCTAACCAGAGTGGATTCTGCAGTTTGAAATTAGGAAGCTCATCCAATGCAGGGCTTGTTCAGCGGGAACAGAGCTGAAGATGAGAGTGTGGTGGGAAGGCCCTCCAGGCCTGGTCAGGCACAAGAATAGCTCTCAGGTGTCACTGGTCTTGGGCTCACTGTATTACCCCAGCAATGCATCTGGGGACCAAAGGGGTCAAAGACCAGAAGGCCCTTGTGAAGCTGGAGGCACCATGGTCGGCAAGACCACCCTCACTTCTGACCTCTGCTACAAGCTTCAGAGTTCTGGAGACTACCCCAAAATTCCTCAGTTTTCTAGGAGGACTCATAGAACTCACAGCTTTTATACTCAGTTATAGCTTGTTGAAGGGAAAGCATAACAATTAAAATATGGCAAGGGAAGAGGTCATGGAGCACTCTCTGGAAAAGTTCCAGATACTGAGTGTCCAGCCCACCTTCCCTGCGGATTTATGACAAGATTGCTTCCCCAGCCTCGTGGGTGACCACCTGCAGAGTACTGCGCATTCGCCTGGTGTCCAGAGTCAGTGGGCTCCACCTGTAGCCATGGTTGTTTATTGGTGTGGGTAGCCACAGTGTCCAGCCCCTCGGAGGCCCAGATGCTTCCATGTGACACAAAGTCCCATGACAGAGTATACTGTTAGCCTGCTTGAGTGGTGGCCCTTCAGGTAAATAGACACTTTATTTTTATTTTTATTTTTTATATAAGATTTTATTTATTGGGCCCTCCCTGGTGGCGCAGAGGGTTAAAGCACAGCACTAAGAAGCTTAAGCCACTTCTTCATGAGTTCAATTCCCGCCTGCCCCGGAGGTGACCACATGGCGCTGCAGACCTCTCCTGACCCGCCCGCTGCTCCCTTCAGCAGTGTACTTCGTTGATCTGCCTGTTCTGCTCCCCGCTCTGTCCCTGGTGAATCCTCTCACTCTCCGCATCTCTGGCCTGTACCCCAGTTCTATATGAATAAATAAAACTTAAAAAAAAAAAGATTTTATTTATTTATTTGCATACAGAACTGGGGTACAGGCCAGAGGTGCAGGGGTGATGATAGACAGAGTGGGAGCAGAACAGGCAGACTGATGAAGTACACTGCTGAGGGGAGCAGCGGGCGGGTCAGGAGAGGTCTGCCACGCCATGTGAGTCACCTCCAGGTCGGGATCGAACTCGCACTGAACTCACTTGCCGTGCAATGCTCTAACCTGCTGCACCACCAGGGAGGGCCCAAATAGACAGTCTTGTCAGACACCTTCTCTCAAGGGCTGAGGGCAAAGATCAACCTCTCTTTGAGCCAGGTGAAGTTGTTTATTCCACAATCCCCTGATGTAAGACCTCTCCCCATTGACTAAGACACCACCTCAGGAGAAGGGGGGAGTGTGAGGGAGACTGGACCACTACCCAACTGCTAAATTAACAGAGGACTCTCTAGGTTATTGGATTTGATTTCTGGACACCTGTTTTACAGATGTACCTTCCTATACATATAAGAACATATGAATAAGAAATGATGTGCAGATAAAGTTGCTCATGGAAGCACTATTTGTTGGCAGGAGTTCCTTGATGGAGAGAGCAGAGCTGCCAGCTGTCAAGTAGTTGATTAAAGCAACAATAAGCCAAAGTGAAAGGCATAGAGAATCCCAAGTATCCCAAAGAATGCCAAAACCTAATTAGAAGGGCCATATGCATGTCTGTGTTCATTGCAGCATTATTTACAAGAGCCAGGTTATGGAAACAACCCAAGTGACAGACAGTTGAGTGGATTAAGAAGGTGTAGCACATATATGCACTGGAATACTACTCAGCCATAAAAAGACGAGTGCTTGCTACTTGGAAAACATGGATGGAAGTAGAGGAGCTGATGCTAAGCAAAAAAGTTAGAAGGAGCAAGAAAAATAACATGATTTCATTTATATAAAAAATATAAAGAAACAAAGGAAGGGTCATAAATCAAACCTTGTCACAAATAAGTGTTCCCCCTTGTTTCACAAATCTGGTTGCACCGTATTCATCCTGGGTTTCTCTGAGTTTTTTCTTGATGCCATCCACCAGAATGTTCTCAAATGTAGGCTGCTTACAGACTATCCTAATCTATTTTAAAATATGCAGAGGAAAATGACTCACAGTGTTTCCAGGTATTGTGGAACTTTAATAGCATGAGCAGGGTTTTGGGTTGGTGAGCTTCTACCCCACTGTAAGGCCATACCTGTGCCTTGTCCAGCTCACCAGGTTAGTGCATAGTCTTGCTTAGGAAGTTTTGACAGTTGCTAGAGCCTACTCTGCTCAGACTAGAAGAATCAGAGAACTGATGTCCCCCAGGAACTCCCCTCAACCAGTGACTGATGGAAGATGTTCTAGGTAGAAGTATCCCAACAACTTTGGCTCTTGGGTGGATACTCTAAGCTGTGTTCTCCACTGGTTCCCAGCATTTCCTTAGTGGGATTAGGCTCAAAAACCTATGGCAGTAACTTGTTTGATCATGCACCCTTCATAGGGGCTGTCCCTTTCCTTTTCCCATCTCATTTCCTGCTCCTGTCTTCCTGGCACTTCTTGGATTATCTTCCAGACAAGCTTCTTTGTGCTCACCTTGTACCAGGGTTTGCTTCAGGGGAGTCCAAAAAAGGCAAATGATACTCACATCAGCGACTTACCAGGACCAGGCTACGCCTTGATACTCCCAGAAGCCTCGTGTAATCCTGTTGAGTCCTGAGTCCCAACGAGGGCTTCCCAGCTCCCCTTCTAGATGAGGATCAAGGTTTACAGAGGCCTGGCCCAGGGCCCTAAGCAGGTAAGTTGGAATCAACTGTTCCCCACCATAGCCAAGGCAAAGCCCTTAGAGGAGGGCCTGGAAGTGGGTATATGATGCTCTCCTTCCTCATGCGGGACACCCAGTGTCTGCTGATAGTGTTACAGAGCAGGGACAGACACCACTGAACCCCCAAAGCTGCCTTCACTAATAGGTTCTGCCATCCGCTTTATCAAGACAAAACATATAAGACCTTTAATGGAAAGGAACTTTAATACAATCATTGTGTAATACAGCAAACATAAAGATTATAGTTTCTAAATCAAACACCCAAAGTACCTATCCCCTTGTGGATAAAAGTCTACCCAAAAGAGATTGGCCCAAAGCAAGGCCTGAAAGCCCATCCCAAGTCTAAAGAACCTTCCAGCAGAGACCCATAGAAAAGGGTCAGAAATGGCCCAGACAAGTATGGGAGGAAAAGAGCAAAATCCAGATAAATGTTGCCCTAGTCAAACCTCCCCACAGGTCTCTCACTCACATCTGTTTCAACCAGAAGCAGGTGCAGTTTCGTAACATGTCTCTCTGCTCCATGTGGCTCCCTCAGCCCAACATGTCCAGTTTTATGTCCAAAACCAAAATGGCTGCTTAACTCCACCCTCAGGTCCTAGCGGTCCTCCCTTGGGTGCTGCTGGGATTCGTAGTTTGGTGTCTGGAGTGAGTGTAGAGTCCACAATACCTGTATCTATAGCATTCATTCAGGACAGCCTTTCCCCCTAACAACAGGATGTGCTCACTAAGGATGCCTATTCCATGGACACTGACCCCTACTCTATATTGCCCAATAAATCCTTTTTCATCGATTACTTAGATGTCATTGCTATAACAGCTGTAGGGAGCAGGTACTATTACTACCATCCTTACATTATAGATGGGGACCTCAGTGGGGAAGAGGTCTGTGTGAGCCACATGGCCAGTCCTGGACAGAGTCTGGGCCCTTCGCCAGTTCGCCACACTGGTGGCTGTGGTGGACACATGGACCGAAGAAAAGAGGAGGGAAGAGGCGAAGCTGGGGCTTACCCGTCCCCAGCCGGTGACAGTGCTGGGCCCGTCTTAGAACCTATCTCTGTCACAGACAGGGTAAATGGGTCTATTCCCTGTGAGTTATCTGCAAATGGGTCTATTCCCTGTGAGTTATCTGCTAGCCGGCAGCTCCATCCATCTGCTCATTAACACAGTTAAAAAAAAAAAAATCAAACCAGCCTTCTGATTCCCAGTCCCTGGGGCCAACTACATAACTTGGAAATGACTCTTTATTAAGTCTGATCAAAGTCTCGTTGTTCAGTAATTAGAAATCAAGTTCTCTTCCTTCAGGCTTAGGGCTCATAAACAACAATTGGATGAGCTTTTCATTTGGGTTGGACCGAAAACCTAGATGGAGCCATTTTCTTCTCATTTATCCCTGTCCTAGTAGGGGAAAGAGCAGGAGGCCACTGGCCCCCGTGTCCACAGCGCCATCATCCACAGCACATGCATGAGTAAGCCCAGAGCCTGAGGTGAACCAGCACCTTAGAAAGAGGCATCCACACCAGGTCAAGGATGCATGGAGAACACCCCACTCCTAGTTATCTCTTTGAGGTTCCCGCTGGCCCACAGGAAAGGGCCGTGTGGTCCAGTTGGAGCCCTGGAGAACACAGGTGGGTCTGACGATCCCCAACCCCTTAGGCCAAAGGGGGTGTTCAGTAGGTGGTTCCTTCCATGAAACATCAACAACAATTTATTGGGGATCCTCTGATAGGGGATCAGATGTGAACAAAACAAGATGGCGCCTCCATTAGAGCTATCACAAGCCAGTGGGGAAGGATGCGCCATCACAGTAGAGGGAGTAAAGTCCAGAGTCATAGAGTGTGTGGGCAAAGGAGCTGAAGAACAAGAGGGGGCGTGGGGCAGGCAAAATGTCTTCACCTCCCCCCCCAACACCTTCTGCAGTATGCTGCACATCTGGAAATGCAACTTGCTGATCTTGCAGTGGCTGCCAAGTCCCTTCATGCTCTGGGTCCTCAAACTCTCATGTACTGGGCATTAGCACCCAAGAACAGGAAGTCCTAGGAAAGACCAGACAGGATAGGGTGGTAAGAGCCTCCACAGACATGTTCCTCGGATCTAGAGGGAGCCATGCACCTCAAACATGAGTTGAGCCAGAAACCTGGTCAGTGCATCAGGCACCAGCTGCCTCAGGCCCCAAGGTCTCCTACAGTCAGCTGTTGCCAACCTCGTTCTTCAAGGTGGCAGTTTATCTGTCATTTCCCAAGTTGCTGCTTCCTGAAAACCCTCATAAATGTCCTTGTCAGACAACACAAAACTGTGAGCTGCTATTGCAATTCTCCCATCTCTTCAGTTCCCATCACCCAGAGGGGTGGGAATTCTGAACTCAAGGCAAAGTCCAGAATTTCCTGTGGCTGCCCATCCCTGCCTTTGAAGGTCAAACAAATGGACAGAGTTGATCTCAAAATTAGAATATGCTAAAAAAGAATAAAGCTTTGAATTACTTCCCATGTGCAAAACTGAGTTAGGAGTTTTCAGTGTTGGCTTCCAGTTTTCAAACAGTCCAGTGAGGTTTAGGCTACACTTCATTTTATAGAGAAGAAAACAGGCCAACTGGGTGAATTATCACTCAGTCTTTGCTTTGAGCAATGATCTGATTTCTATAAACACTCAGCAGTATCTGGGTGTAGACTCTCTCAGGGCGCCTGGCTTTGGGCTTTTGTTTTTCAAATGTAGCAGTTGGTTAATGTTTCCATGTTCCTGCAGACTCTGATGCCCTTCAGATGTGCTAGCAGCTTTTATTTATGGGGTACCAACTGTCTGTGGGTCTCACCCGCATGCTTAAGATTCAACTGCACTGCAGACACACACAAAATGGTCAATAATGGATTTATTTACAAGGGGAAAGGAAAAGGAACAACCCAGAGAAATGGAGAAAGAGAGACAAGTTAACTAGTGTGTCCTACCAGTTCTGCTGACCTGGGACCTAAGGTAGCACTCTGAAAGCTGATCAAGAGCTGAGTGACCGGCCACCACCCACGAGGCCAAGGGAGAGAGCCTCAGCCCAACATGTCTGCCTTTATAGCCAGAATTTCAAAATGGCTGCTTAACTCCACCAGCAGTTCCTCACAATCCTCCCTTTGGTGTTGCTGGGATTTGTAGTTCTGGTGTCTGGGGTAGGGGTGGAGTCCACAAAACCTTTATCCGTAGAGTTCCTTCAGGACATCCTTCCCCACAATACTACAATGTGCCAGACATAGTAGTATCTTGTTC